TTCTAAATTTTTTTGTTGCAATTTAGAGCTTTATGATGGTCAGGATTTTATAAATACTACATATGTTATGTACTTCAAGGTTACAAATATGTTATTTTCTTTAATACCATATCATTTATGTTAGAAAGTTAAGATTTGAAAATTGATAAGTGTTTTAGAGAAGTTTTATTTCTGAACAATGGCTGGAGATTAGTATATATTTTTATGCTTTTGTTATATTATGTTTTGGATTTGCTTGTGTGAAAACATGTATTTTTTTTATTCGCATGTTATTATGTGAAAATTGAATTTTTATTTTTGGAAAATATTATATATTTATATATATATAGTTTTTATTTTTCATGAGTACTACTGGGAACAATTTTGACTCTTCTGATCTGCGTTTCCTTGAGTGAAACTTGGGTGTGTGCGTTGTACATTGCTTGATTTTACATCTAATGTGTGTGTGATTCTTGATTAATCATAAAATACAATGTTTGGTCTAACCAAGAATCGTGATTGGATTTGAACGTGAATAAGCAACCATTAAACTATAGAATTCGTATGTTGTATAAATTGATAATTTATAAGTTTTAATATATGTTTTAAAATATATTTATACATTATTATTATTTATCTATTTGGATTATAAAGATTATTAAATACAAATATTTGGTATATAATTTTAATAAATTAAAGAATAGACACAACATCGTTAATTTATTAATATTTATCTTTATATTGTAAATATTAATTGTAATAAATGATATGTAATGGAATTTTTCTTACATTTGTGATAACATATTAGATTATATTTCTTAATTTATCCATAGGAGTTAAGAAAAGGAACATAGTCTGGTAGTTTTATCATAAATTTGAGTTTAAATTGAATAGGACTTTAGTCCAGGATAAATTTTATATCATTAGATTCATTAATTAAGACATGTCTTATATTGGTAAGACATAACATTTATTATAGTCTCAAATTTTGGTAATGAGCATGTGTTTTAAACTTTGCAGTTTCATAACCTATGAGTTTTTTTTATATCAAGTGTGATATTCCCAAATTGAGAGGTGACAATTATAAGATTTGGAAGGAGAGAATTCTTCTCCATTCACACTAGATGGACATTGATTATGCTATTAAAAAACTTAAACCACAGGTTATTACTACTGAGACCAACACTTCATATGTTGTTGATCTTTATGAAAAGTGGGAGAGATCAAATCGTCTTTTTGTAACCTTTATAAAGACCAACATTTTCTACTAGAATCCGGGGTTTTGTTGAACAGTATGACAATATGAGAGATTTACTATAGGTCATTGATGAGCAATTTACTACATTAGATAAATCTCTTGCTAGCACTCTTATAATGCAGTTTTCATCTTAAAGCTCACCGAGATTAAGGGAGTGCGTGATCATATCATGCATATAAGGGACATTATGGCTCAACTAAAAGTCCTGGAAGTTACCATGTCTAATTCCTTTCTAGTACATTATATTTTATGTATTTCATCTCATTAGTATGTTCCATTTAAAATATCTTACAATATACATAAAAATAAGTGATTTATTAATGAATTGTCGATCATGTATGTACAAGAAGAGGAGAGGTTGTTGATGAAAGAAGATGAAATGGTGAACTTGACTACTTTTATAAAGAAAAAGAAGAATCAAGTTAACTACAAGGAAAAATTTCTACTCAACCAATTATAAAGAAAGAGTCCAAGTGTTTCTTCTATAAAAAGAAAGGATAATGAAGAAAGATTGTGCAAAATTTAAGAATTGGTTAAAGAAGAAAGATAATTTATTTACTTTTGTATGTTATGAATCTAATGTAATTAGTATTAGTCATGACACATAGTGGAATATTGATTATAGATCTGCAATTCATGTTTGTAATATCTTGCTTGATATGCAAAACCTAAAAAAATCAATGGAAAGTGAGTAATACATCTATTTAGGAAGCAAGATGAGCTCACATGTGGAGGCCATTGGAACATGCAAGTTAACCTTAAGTAGTGGTTTCATTTTATATTTGAAAAAGACCTTCTATGTTCCTAGTTTTTGTAAAGATTTGATTTTCATCTAACAACTTGTACCTTTGGGTTTTTCATTCAATTTTATAAACTTTGGTTTTACTTTATTAAATCAATCAAAGGTTGTTGGTTTTGGTCAACTACGGAATGGTCTTTACTCCATTGATTTACAAAATGACACTACTCATAATTCTATGCATATTTCTTCTGGGTTAAAATAATGTGTTGTGAATGGGGATTCATCTATTTTGTGGCACCAGAGATTGAGACATATCTATATTAAGAGAATTAAACGATTGGTAAATGACGGAGTACTTAGTACTTTAGATTTTACTGATTTTGATACTTGTGTCGATTATATTAAGGGTAAGCAAACTAATAAGTCCAAAAATGGTGCTAAGAGGAGTTCAAATTTACTAGAAATCATTCATACATATATTTGTTGTCCAGATATGGATGCAAGTAATCTGAGATACTTCATCACCTTTATAGATGATTACTCACGATATATGTATCTCTTCTTAATTCGTTACAAGGACGAAAATTTGGATGCCTTCAAAAATTTTAAGGTTGAAGTAAAGTTACAATGTAGAAAACAAATTAAGATTATGAAATAGAGGTGGAGAGTATTATGTAGATACAAGGAGAGTGGACAAGTACCTGGTCTATTTGCGAAATTTTTTCAAGAGCATGAGATTGTTGCCTAATACATTATGCCTAGTTCTCTGGATCAGAACACTATGAAAAAAATAAGAAATTGAACTTTAATGGATATGGTGAGATGCATGAAGAGTAATGCAAAACTTCTTCAATTCTTGTGAAGTAAAACACTTAAGACGACTATGTATATAGTAAATCAAGTTTCAACTAAGGTTGTCTTAAAGACACTTTTTGAATTATTCAAAGGTTGGAAACCTATTTTATAATATATATATATATATATATATATATATATATATATATATATATGGATTTGGGAATGTCCATTTGAAGTAAGGATTTATAACGCATAAGAAAAGAAACTAGACCCTATGGACTATTAGTGAATATTTCATTGGATATGCTGAAAAATCCAAAAGGTATACATTCTATTGTCCATCTCATAGTACTAGAATTGTGGAATCAAGAAATGCAAAATTTCTTGAAAATGACTTGATTAGTGAGAGTGACTCAATTCAAGATATTGATTTTAAAAATGATCATTATAAAGTTTAACTCTTTCAATCAAATGATAGATTGTTAGTCATTCACGCTCCTCCAGTTCAAGAGCGTGTTAGACAACCAGTTACTCAAGTTCCACAAGTAGTTGAAGATGATAATGTAAATCTAGTTGTTGAAGATGAACAATAAGTAAATGTTGGACAACCTATTGAGCAACCGGTTAAACAACAAGTTACTTATCAAGGTAGTGAAACAACACTAAGAAGATATACAAGAATTAAAAGATCAACTATTTCTAGTGATTATGAAGTGTATTTAAAAGAATCAGATTATAACATTGAAGCTGAAAATGATCGTGAAACATTTTCACAAGCCATGAATTCTAAGTAATCAAATTTGTGGTATAATGTTATGAAAGATGAGATTAATTTTATGGCGTCTAATCAAGTCTGGGATCTTGTTGATTTGCCTAATGGGATAAAATTCATTGGATATAGATGGGTGTTTAAAACTAAGAAAAACTCAGAGTAATATTGAGAGACATAAAATAAGACTTGTTGCCAAAAGGTTCACTTAAAGAGAAGGAATCAATTATAAAGAGACATTTTCTCTTGTATCTAAGAATGATTCCTTAAAGGCAATCATGACATCAATAACTCATTTTATTTTTTAGTTACATCAAATAGATGTGAAAACAACATTCCTTAATGGTGATCTACAATAAGAGATTTATATGAAATAACCTGAAAGATTATTCTCTAATGATGGTGAGCAATTAATATGTAAGCTTAATAAATTCATCTATGAATTAAAACAAATTTCACACCAATGATATTTAAAATTTCATCAAGTTATTTCTTTGTTTAGTTTTGAGAAAAATATTATTGATCAATGTATATATTAGAAGGTTAGTGGAAACAAAATTTGTTTTCTTGTTTTATATGTGAATGACATTTTACTTTCAACTAATGACAAATGAATATTATTTAAGGTGAAACAGTTTCTCTTAAAGAACTTCAATATGAAAGATATGAAAGAAACATCTTATGTCATAGACATTAATATCTATAGAGAAAGATCTCGAAATGTTCTGGATTTATCTCAAGATACATATATCAATAAAATTTTAGAGTGGTTTATTATGAAACTCTATTTACTATATATAGCTTTTATTGTGAAGGATGATAAGCTTGATATATAATTTTAACTCGCATGATTTTACAATTCCATTGAGGTAATGAGAACAACTTTCCTTCCACAAGAAATTGGGTTTTGTTGAAATGAAGTGTTAGGAATTCCATTTCATATTTGTTATGATACTACTACCCACATTTTCAAAGAGGTAAACTATAAAGCATTTATGATAGTGTATCGACGATTCCTTTTATGCTCTTTTTTTTTTATCTAGGCAGAAAAGGAACCTGCTGGCCACATCACCTTCGTTTTCATAGTATATGTTACTTCAGGCATCATGATGTTCTAATCCATTCATTGGGTTTTAAGCATGACAGTGATCACACACCACTGTGCAATTCATCCGGAAAAGAAACTAGAACCTCACGGAGCCAGTGAAATCAAAAGATAATGCAAGATTTCTAGATTCTGCATCCATGTGGGTATGAATTTTGTTAGTGTAGATCAAATATTGCAATTTGCATGAGCTCAAACTCATTTGTGGATAAGCAAAGAACAAATAAACAGAGGTTCTCTGGAGCATGCCAAGCTCACATGAACTTCCAACTTAGCAAATTATTTCCATTTACTGCATTCTCTGCTCCAGCTATGGTTAGTATGAAGGCAATACTCATCATAGAAAAACATGGTAATTGATGCCTTAAATGGACCTGCATCCCAGAAATTATTAATTTCACCCAAAGAGACCACACATAAAGGGTATGCATGCACAATCACTGTTGAGAATGACTTGCTGAGAACAACCATATTGGTTTGTTCTTCAATTGCTTCCTATAATTGACTAAGAATATTCACTCACGTTTATAACATTGGTCAATGTAGGAGAAGAGCCTGTTTATTTTGTGTTGTTTCTTAGTTAAAGAGGGGTACCAACTTTATCTAATTGCTTTGAAAATATTTTAGAATCAAACTCGAAACATATTCCCATTGATTTAATACAGGATTAATTTTTAAATCCTATTCATTGTGTTGTTAATTAAAAATTTTCAAATTATGACTAAATTGTCAAAATAATATTAAGTTTGATATCATTACAAAAAATATATATATATATATATATATATTATATACTTGGACTATGTTTGCAAAAAAAACTAATTAATACGTTAATAAAAACTGAAAAATAATTGAAAGTTGAAAAGTTAACTAATAATTAAAAGTTAATATTGATAATTGAAAACTGTTAAATTATCGTCAAGTGACAAAAAATTATATGTTTATACTATTTTTGTATAAAAATGAATATATTGATAATATACGTTGAAGATATTTTTGAATTAATTTTAAATTTTATGATCTTTTATTTATAGATAATTATATGCAATTTACTTTTAATTATTATATGGTTTTTTATATTGAATATTTTTAAATACAGAATGTAAATAAGATGATATTAAACCTACATAAGAGATTCACAATCATTCAAGAGAAAACCAACACTATCAGAAAAAGAAACACACAAATATGATAAAGAAACCACTACTTTCAAAAATGAAGAAAACACAAATGAGAGTAATGACTTAAAGACTAAAAAAGATACATAATATCAATTCACATTAGTGCACTACGTGGGGGAATAAATGGATAAAAAAAATATCAAAGACAAAATCATTAAAACACAATAAATAAAAATGTTTAGAAAATTATTCATAATTTTTTAATTTGACCAAGTTGAATAATAATATATTAAATCACTCTATTTTTTTATATATTAGTTTTGAATTAAAAATAATCGAAAATTTTGAAGATTAAATTATAATAATAAAAATAAAAAAGTGTGTAAGTTGTGAGTCCTTAAAACAGTTTTTTGAAATAACATTTTTAATAAATGAAAAAAAAAAAGAGTTTTTCTTAGTAACAAATTTCCAAACAATACAATTTACACCGTTACTCCATTACTTTTTGTATACAATTTCCAAATAATACAAAATTAAAGTAGGTTAATAATATATTAGTTATAAGTTAAATCTTTGTTGGTATTTGAAAAAAAAATATTAAAACAAGTTTTTCTTTTTTATGAAAGCTATTTAAAAGAATTCAAAATAAATAATAAATTATCCTCCAATTTAAGAACCTAAAAGATTTATTGGAATTGTTGTGGAGTTTCTGATTACTCATAACAAATGGTGATATATAGATAAGTAAAAAAAAAAAAAACTATTTGATTAACTTTTTATTTGTAAAGAAAATGTTCCAAAGCTATGTATAACACAAACTCATTTTTATCCTTATATAATTAATTATATATTTCGATTAAGCATATTCATAGAATATATTATGCGACACAATATAATTAATTATATATGATTTATGAGTCTATTTTTACATGAATATTTTAAAAAAGTTTATACAAATATCTTTTTTTCTTACATGTATTATTAAACTAAAAATATTTATATTAAGTTTATTTTAATAATTTTTATAAAAATAGATTAAAATCAATCTATCTTATTATTTAATATTTTTAAATCAATTAAATCAATCTATCTTTTATCATTTTTCTTTTACATTTCTTTCATCTTCTCTCTTTCTCTCAATTTAAATATTTTATTTTTACTCTCTCAAACTCATTCCTTCACCTGGAGTTTGTAGCAATGTTGTTGAGTAATTGACCTAGTTTCTCAAAGCATACATAAAATTGACATGGTTCTGCTGGTGTTGGAACCTAAAATCTCGGTTCCGAGAATACTTTCTACAACATTCTATTTTATTTATTTATACCAGCATATTATTAAGGCAACTTCTTCCAGAGGAGACACGTGGAAGCGCACACTTCTATATATATTCCAAACCTCACCTCCTCCTCCTCCTCCTCCTCCCACTGCTCCCAAGGCGTCGAACCCTAAACCCTCACTTCATCAGGATTTTACACTTTCACGGTGCCATCAATCCACAGGAGGACTCTAGATCAACCGTCTTCTCGCGCTCTCATCCAAGGTCTGCATTTCCTTCGTCTGATTTTCCCTTTTTATCATCGTTTCATGTGTGCGTAATTTTTAGTTCGAAGTTTCTAGTTAATTGTTGTTATGCAGAGATTGGATATTGAAGATGGTGTCTGACGCAAGCAAGAAGAAGGCCGCACAGAAGAAGGCGGCGGCAGCGGCCAAGAGAGGAGGCAAAGCTGTAGCTGCTTCTTCCAAAATGACTTCCTCGGAGAAGGCTGCCGACAATCTCGCCAACGGAATTGGGGAGATTCAGATTTCCGATCGAACCTGCACCGGCGTCCTCTGCTCTCATCCTCTTTCGAGGGATATCAGGGTGAGTACAGTGTTACTTATCCATCGTAGAATACCCTGTTTTATTTTTAACCATGTTGATTACTACTATATAATGTTTAGTATGAGTTTGTATTTTGGTGTTTCGGTTCTGTTGATTGAGGGTGAGTTTAGAATGCTTATAACGACTTTCTTTTGAGTGTTAAGGAAAACCGTTAATTTACCCCTCGGCTGAAACGGTAAAATGTTGAAGAGGTTTGTTCTGGAACAGAGAAACTGGTTTCTAAATAATTGAATCATTTAGCCTTTGTTTGGAAAAGTTGTTAGAAATGAGAGAAAATGAAATGAAAGTTTAAAAAATTGGTTTCTAAATAATTGAATCATTTAATGATGTAATTGACTTACAGTTTAAATAATTAAGATTTAATTGGTAAAATTGGTAGATTAATATTGACAGGTTAAAAAATTTAGATTTAATTGGTAGATTAATATTTTGCCCTCGGCTTGAATAAAGATTTAAAAATAAAATATAAGTTAAATAAAAAAGGTTAAAATTAGATATGATATATTATTTAAAATATATTATTATTTAATTATATGATTTTATTATAAAATGAAATATATGACTTGGAAATAAATTTGAAATAAAAAATTGATTTATGTTTTTTAAATGAAATAAATTTATAATTGAATTTATTAATTTTTTTAATTAATTATAAAAATAATTTAAATTTAAGTATATGGTACATGAGACCATATGTTGGCCCACTACGAGACCACGAGCAACAACACCACACAGAAAACACCACTACCAACAGGACCACTGAAAACCTGCAAGAACACACGCATCAATGATTAAACACAACACCATACCACTCACATATATGAGAATCGATTCTTATTACAAACATAGGCTTGATAAGACCACTTGAAAACAACAGTACTACGAGACTAAGACCAACCCACAACAATAGTTGTACCACCACCACCAAACCACAACCACGAACATGATGGCGAGAACACCACCAGCAGCACCACCACTGAACACATGTAACAAGACAACATATGTCAAGGTTGAACATAGCACATACATGAGAATCCATTCTCATTGCAAGAATGTTGGCAAATTTTGGGTCATATAATTTTGGGTCATGTATATATATGATACATAATTTAAATGTATTAGGACTATTATTTATTAAGTCAAATAATAAAGTAAACTGACTAAATTAAAGTTTTGACTAAAGGCATATGTCATGAAAATAAAATTGTGTAGAGACCAGAGGGTAATTTCTAATTTGATGAGGGGCCAAATTGGAAATATTAAAACTTAAGTAATTAACCTAATTCTGGTTATTTAAAGGGTCATGGTCCCCTTCTGGGAGCACACACACAGAACGTAAGTATAAGTCCCGTTCTTTTCTTTCTATCCCCATCAAGAGAGAAAATCCAGAGGGAAATACAAGTCTTCTCCAGGTAGAAGACCATAAGATCAATAGTGCTCTAAAAGGGACGTTATCATTATGGCTAATTCAGGTATGCTTTCGCATTCAGTTTACAGTATGTTTATCAGTATGGGATTACGTTTATGTTTGATCATTAAAATAAAGATCATAATTAATTATAATTTACCTAACAAGTGGTATCAGAGCAACTTGTTTAATTTATAGAACCCTAATTGTGAAAATTAGGATTAATTTTATTTTGAAAAATTCAAACTACCCAATTTTCGTGAACCCTTAATTATCGGAACCATTAACGGTATTAGCGGCAGCGCAGCCGGGGGATGGTTCTGGCTGGGCCGGGGATTGGGTTACATCAGGCGGAATTGAATCCTGCGCTGAGGCAGGAGTTGACGGCCCTCTTGGCATTCAGGGGACATTGGGGCAGACGAATTTATTGGGAATATTGGGACGAGTGCTGCAGTGAATCCTGGTGTGCCTGCTACGGGGGGGCTGGAGTGCAGAGTGGTCACAGTACTCAGTCGAATATTATTCTGAGTGTTATTGGAGGATATGGGACTCAAGTGGGGTTGTAGGCTACATATCTGAATTCGAATCAGCAGTTAGGGTAGGGCAAGGTGGTTCTGAAAGAAGGCAATATGGTAGTGGTGATGCACCTAACATGGGGCATTAGCTAACAATCAGAGGCTCTTCTTGTGCTCTAGAGTTCATATCCCTCTGCTGGAACATGATGTTATAGTGTTAATTCTTATTTGTAGATTGGAACATGTTTATTACTCCGGATACACATGTCCTTGGGGAACCTTTTTTCATCAAAGGCTAAATTGACATGTGTTTCTCCTCTGGAAATGTGTTTCCAAAGACACATAATATGGTCAGTAATGAAATAAGAAAATTGCATGTAATGCATTACTGGGTTTAGTTGGATGCTTGCACTTTGCATTGAATTCGGAATTTTCCAATGTAGAATTTCCAGAGCAGTAGTTGTTGCATGAAATAGCTAGCTATTGTGTGGTAGTCAGTTTTTTTTTTTTTAAGTGAATCATGCCTCATTAATTTCATACAAAGTGTGCCTAATATTTTATACATACATTGATGACAGTTTGTATATCTGAGTTGTGCTGGTTTCTCTACATCAAACCAATATTTATAATGTTTTCCTTGATGACACAAAACAAATTAATAAAATAAGAAATTAAAAAGGCAAAAATAGGAAAGAATAAGAAAGTACTTGGCAAGCAAAAATTGTACTTTCAAAATAGTTTCGGAACAACTCAAACATGAAAGGCTTTCTTTATAGGGAAGGTGTTCTTCACTGTGTTGTTAAATAAAATATTCAATTTTTAGTAGTTTAATATTTTTGTGAGCAAATTGAGTTAAGAAGTCACCAAAGTAACTTCTCTTGAATTGGGTAGTTCGTGAAAAATATTGAATGTTAGTGTTTGTGTATATTCATGCGAGTATTAGTCAGCCCAAAGGAAGATTAATATTTGACCGAATTGCATATACACTTGTAATGATAAACATGTGATAATTATAAGGATTTGCTTTGTCGATGATAAATCAATCCAAAGACTGGTTTGTTGTTGGACGTGTTTTATTGTCAATGTTTGATCATTACAACAAGATACCCCTAGCAGTTAATATTATTGTCCAAAGACTTGATATTGATGGTGCATTGGGTTTCTTGAAATGGGTTAAATCATTATTTGAATATATATTTATAATTATTTATTTTTATAATGTGAGCATAATTAGTTTATTTCTTTTGTTCTAATCCAGCTACAATTGCTTCTGTATCTGCCAATTTGAATTTTGTTCTGATCCTCAATGGAACAAATTTTAAGGACTGGAAAGAGAACATTGATATTATTCTTGACTGCATGGATATGGATCTTGCGTTAAGGACTAAGCAACCCTCTACTCCTACGGATTCAAGTACCTCTGAACAGAAAAGAGATTATGAGAAGTGAGATCGCTAAAATCGCATGAGTCTAATGATCATTAAGCGCGACATTCCGAAGGTGTTTAGGGGTACTGTTTCTGAAAACATCACAAGTGCCAAAGAATTCTTTGTTGAAATTGAGCAACGCTTTACAAAAAGCGATAAGGCGGAGGCAAACACTCTTCTTCAAAACTTGATCTCCATGAAATATCAGGGCAAAGGAAATATTAGGGAGTACATTATAAGCATGTCTAATATTGTTTTTAAATTCAAGGCATTAAAGCTTGAACTCTCAGAAGACTTGCTTATTCATTTGGTGTTGATTTCTCTTCCTGCAACGTTTAATCAGTTTAAGGTATCTTACAATTGTCAGAAGGATAAATTGTCTCTTAATGAGCTCATTTCACATTGCGTACAAGAAAAGGAAAGACTAAAGCAAGACAAGACAGAAAATGCTCATTTTACAAGCACCTCCAAGGCTAAGGGCAAAAGAAAAATATCAGAGGATCTCGAGAAAGAAGCTGTTAAGGGTCTAGAACAAAAAAAACAATCTCAAGAAAAAAAATGTTTCTTTTGCAATAAGACTGGACACGTAAAAAAGAAATGTGCTAAATATCATGTTTGACGTGAAAAGAAAGGTTGCCTAAACTACCACTGAAAGATGGAATCGGTGGAAATGGAGACTATTGGACATTTTAGATTATTATTATGTACTCATTTTTTTTTTTTTAGATTTAAAATACACTTTTGTCGTGCCATCTTTTAGACGGAATTTGGTTTCAATTTCTTATTTGGACAAATTAGGTTATTTGTGTTCATTTAGAAACAATAAGTTCAGTTTGTCTTTTAATTCAGATATTGTTAGAACTTGTTCATTTTTTGCTCATGATAATCTATATTTACTTGATATTATGGTCATCTATAATGAAACTCTTAATACATAATCTTGTGGTACTAAACGTAAAATTGACAATACTCACTCAGGTGCATTATGGCATAGGCGCTCAGGTCACAATCTAATCGTGGCGCTTGAGTTTGTGTTACACTCTTAAAGATATGGTAAAGAATATGATTTGTCATTCCACTTTACCAGAATCTCTCTGGGGAGAGACACTAAAAATTGCAGCTTATATTATAAACAGAGTACCAATTAAAACAGTTACCAAAACACCTTATGAGCTTTGGACTGGGCAAAAGCCTAGTCTGAAGCATTTCCATGTGTGGGATTGTCTAGCTGAGGCAAGGCCTTATAAGTCAAATGAAAAGAAATTAGACTCCTGAACAGTAAGTAGTTATTTCATTGGTTATTCTGAAAGATCCAGGAGATATAAATTTTATGATCTCACATTAAAGACAATTTTTAAGACGGGAACGGCTATGTTCTTTAAGGATATTGAGTTTAGGGGAAAAATAAGATTAAGAATTTTGTATTGGAGGAAGAATTGACAATAAATCCTGAATCGATTCAAGAAGTTACTTTTGATAAAATAAATTCGGAACCTCCACAAGACATTGATGATGAACCCCATATTCAAGATGGTTTGATTGTTCGTCAAGACCAAACTCAAGATCATCAAGAACCTGTGTGTCATGAGCCGGGAATATTCTAGTTACTAAGGGAGACAAGTTTAGTCTAAATTAGTGCCTAAAGGGGAATTTG